CATGGCTGCTATTGTGTGGCCACTGGCTGAGGGGCTGTGACTGCTGGCAGGCCTGGCTCTTGCACGTGCTCAGTGGCCAGAGTCTGCCCCTTTAAGGGTCCCGGGGCTGCGGGAGAGGAGAGGAGTTTTCCTGGTTTGGCCCAGAGTGGCCACCAGCGGAAAATGGGAAGGGCTGGAGGCCCCCTAATTTGAAATAAGTATCTACACAGCACTTATTTCGAATTAGCTATTTCGAATTTGGTGTTATTCCTCATGGAATGAGATTTACCAAATTCGAAATAAGGGCTCCACTATTTTGAATTAATTTTGAAATAGCGGTTTGGCTGTGTAGATGCTATTAAAGTTAATTCAAAATTACTGCTGTTATTTCGAATTAACTTTGTAGTATAGACATATCCTTACTTGGGATCAAAACAGGGAGTTACAATTTTAAAATTTATTCTAAATAAAAAGAGTAATGTATACTGAGGTATTCTGATCCATAAGGAGACTAAAATAAAAGTTTCAAAATATTCATTCTGAGGTGAGGGGTTAGAGTTTGCTAGTGCCTGGGGGGGATTTGCCCATAAGTTGTGTTATTTTGTTGTTGCTAAATGGGGAAAAAATGAATTTAAGGATTTCACTGTTTTGTTCTTCTCAAGTATGAAACATTCAAGGGCTGATTTAAGATAGGAACTAAAATAAGGGGGTGACTGATACAGTGCAGTTCCCCTTCATTTGTATAACTTGATGCCCCTTCTTGACTAGTTCAGTGAATCTCCTCAGTCTATTTTGATCACTAGTGCAAGACACTAGTTACATTCTTCCTGGATCCTACACACTACTTTTCCACCTTCTGAAGTGGGACAAGACTCAGAATCTATATTTGTTTTTCTTTCAGACTAAGATTTTCCTTCAAAGTAGAGAAAGCCTTTAGAATTTATTTTTCAATAGAACAGGTCAGGAATTATGGCTGGAGTCTTCTCTATGGAGCAAGAATGCACTAATGTAGCAAAAGGGAACTATGTGAAAACAGAAGGAATAATAATCCTCACTGCTGCTTCAGCAAATTGGCAGAGATTATAACTCCGAGGTGTAAGTTAGGTTGCAGTCTTCCTCTTTACCATTGTTCTTTACATCCTCTTTGTTGATCTTTTTTTTATCATAAGGTGTCTAAACCTGCATTCAGCAAAAATGTCAAGTGGGGTGTCATCAGTCCGTCTGAAAATTTTGAGGGATCTGCCATTATTTTATTACAAGAATGGTGATACTGGGCTAGAAAGCAAAACAAACAAACAAACAAAAAAAAGCCCCAAAACAGTTCAGGAATTCCTTATATGTTACATAAAATTGGGAACTCTCTCTACATTTGCCTGAATAGCTTGTGAAATTTATCTAAACATCTCTCCCAATTTCCATTCATCTTTGCTATAATCATTATATCTAGATAACATTAAGGGTACATCTACACAGAAACATTATTTCAAAATAATTAATGTTCTTTTGAAATAACTTAGTCCACATCTACACAGCAGGCAGATATTTTGAAATAATGCTGAAATACTGTCAAGCATGAGGACTTCTTCCTCAGATTCCTGTAACCCTTATTGTACAAGGAGTAAGGGAAGTCGGAAGAAGAGTGCTCTATTTTGAAATAAGTGCTGTGTAGATGTTCCCAATATCAAAATAAGCTATGCAATTGATGTGGCTCAATTTGCGTAGCTTATTTTGAGATAAATCCTGCTGTGTAGATGCACCCTAAGTCTTTTGCTGAGAGTTAATTTAAGACTTTTGTCTCATTTCTTCTTCTTCTTCTTCTTCAATGTGTCTTAGGTAAGGTAGCTGACAAATCAGAAGCTCGAAAGATTGTCTAAAGGTGGCTTTTGTGGCAAGGGACTGGGGCCACGAAGGAGGAAAGCCTGAACTTAAATGTACTTAACCAATTACAAACTTTATTAACTACAATTTGATTATATTAAATTACTGTCTCTGATTTGTTTAAGACAACATAGCATGCAAATAAAACATACATTAAAGAAAGTCAATACAACAATTATAAAAACTCCTCCTACAGACAGTCCCTCTATGGTTATCTTGGAATCGCCAGTAAAGTTAGTTATTAGTTTGCCTATTCACTTAACAGCCCTTCAATTCTACTTCTAGTTCTTATTTAGACCTAGGTGTGATCTAAATAACCATACAATATGGTTAATACAATACAACTAACTATTGCTAAGCTGATAAATAATATATTAATCAATACTTACAAACCCAGTGACAATTACGATACACAGACAAAAAACAACGGGTATCATGCTCCAGATTCGTATATCCTTTGTGATTCCGTGAGTGAGAGGCGGCGTTGGGTGATCAACCCCCTAGCCAGGCTAGACAATATGTGCCTTCTATCTTGATACAGAACCTCCCCGAGCTTAGGGCTCAGGGTGCTTTAATTTTGACATCCGGTACCATATTAGGGTTCCTTCCTTGTGACATGACGTCTGCCTCAAGGCATTGTGGTCAGTGCCGGATGCAGACATGACTGGCACATGTGAAAGCTAGCTATGTTTTTGCTTCCCTGCTCCAGGTGCTTGTTAACTGATGTATATGACAGCTCATTTCTCTTATTTCTATCTTGTCCTGGGTTTTTTTAGTGCTCTTTAACTTAGTGTATGGGACAGCTTGTGTCTCGGCTCTTATCTTTTTGGCCCAGGTGCTTGCCAAGTTAAGTTCCATTTACTGAGGCTTGAAGGCCCCTGGCCCGGGTGCTTGCCAAGATAAGTTCCGTTTACTGAGAACTGTGCTGAGCACCCAAGAGACTTCAAGCTCTGTCTCTGGATCCACCTGAGCGGCCTGTTTTTCTTGTGAGGAGCTTTAGTGTGGCAGTATGGGCAATACGCGCAAGGCCATGGTCAAAAGGACCTGCTACACGACAGTAGCAACAATTATAAATGTATATGTATATTTAATAGTCAGCACTTTGCCACAATTCAAAATATATCACTATGGTTCTCCTTAACTATTTATTTGAATATGACATGTGCTTTCCAAAATAAGGATTAAGTTTGAAGTTTGTTTAAAAAATGATTTGTTTAGTCACCAGCAGGACATTTTGGGAAGGGACATGCAAATATCTTTTTTCCATGAAAGAGACAATTAGTAATAGGATAGACACCAGATTTGGATCCTTAGGAAATGGTCCAGCTATATATGAACAACAGGAGAAACTCAATGTTCATACTATTTTAGCACCTGTACTAAAAAGGCAGTTTTATATATCCTCAAGCCAGATATGAACACTCTTCTAAACCAAACCATATGAATTCATGTCTTCTAAACCAAGTCTTCTGGAAATTCATGAGAAGTGACCTACAAACTAAGAATTAATAATGAAAAAATCATTAGTTCCTTCTGATATTTTTTATCTGATCATATCAACAATGCAATTATCAGCAGGAGTGATTGCAAATGGATTTATTGTTGGCTTAAATTGCATTTATTGGGTCAAATTCAGAACACTGACATCCTATGATATGATCCTGACCAGTCTGGCCTTCTCCAGATTTTGTCTACAATTATTTTTATCATTAAACAATTTCCTTTATAAGTTTGATCCAGATATCTTTTACGCATTTCAAACACCAAATCTTTTTCTCGTTGTCTGGATATTTATGAACCAAGTGAGTCTCTGTTTTGCAAGCTGCCTTTCTGTGTTCTACTGTGTGAAGATTGCCACTTTCAATCTGTCTGTCTTCAACTGGTTAAAACCGAAACTCTCCAAACTGGTGCCATGGCTGCTTTTGGGCTCTCTACTGCACTCCTTGATTACTACAGTTGTTTTTACATTTGTCAGCTATTTCTTTGAGATAACCTCTCGCAACTTTACAGACCATCCATCACGAAATATCACAATAACAGACAAGAGAAAGAACCTCGCAAAGATTGTTTTTCTTATACATAGCATAGGATCAGGTTTTCCCCTTAGCCTATTTATTGCTTCATCTGGTTTGTTAATCCTATCCCTTTGGAAGCACATCAGGAAAATGAATCTTAATTCAGACTTTAATCCAAGTTTCAGGAATCCCAGTACGGAGGCCCATTTGCGTGCAATTAAATCGGTGCTGTCTTTTTTGTTCCTATACATTATGTATTTTGCAGTTTCAACAGTAACAATTGGAATCTTATCCCATTTCACTGATGAATGGAAAATTATTATGTTTTCGTTTGGGGTTGCTGCCTATCCTTTTGTACACTCCACTATCTTGATTCTAGGCAACCCCAAATTAAAACAGGCCTCAGCAAAGATTTTGCATTCTGCTAATTGCTGTTTCAGATAAGTTGTTTCATAGTATCTATTTCTGTGCTTCTGGATTGAGAATGTTTAATTCTTTTTGAAAGCACAGTGGTGAAAACAAGGAAATTGTTCTATTTTCTCATTTATTTATGTGTTCTCCATGCTATTATGCATTTAAAATCTCTCCTGTGCCACTATAGTAAAAAACCTAAAAAAGAAAAAAAAGCACCAAGGCTTTCTATGAAGCTTATTTGTTCACTCCACATGAGTTCTCACTTGAGCCCTTCCAATGCTCATCAGTGTTTTCTTGCAGTAGCCTTGCTAGCCTTTTCAGGAGAAACTACACACTGTATTTGATTTTGGTGTACATATATGAGTATAAAAACCAGAGTGGCACCACCAAACTCACTTTCCCTTGATACATTTGGTGAGGAATGAACTTTTGTCTGCACCAGTGAATGTTCTGCTTATAAGCTTCTGAATGTTAAAAAAGCCAAAAACATTAAAGCATTGACTGTAAGACTTACTCCATCTACCAAAGAAAAGACTTACGATGGGCAAATTCACAGGGGAATTAGTGATACTGAAAATGGAAGAGCCTTTCAGATTGCTGATGGAAAGAGATCAAAACATAAATGTTTCAAGAGCTAATCATAATTCATAATATAGATATATGTGAGAATGAAATGTAAAAAAAATGTGGTTATTCAATCATGAGTTAAATGCTGTGTTGTGCCCACTACAGACCATCATGTAGCCAAAAATATATTAGCATAACTATCTCAGTGAAAATCTTTAACACAAGCCTGAGCCTGAGAAGCCAGGGAAACACTGGACAAAGAAAAAAGAAAGCAGAGGGAGGCATCTTCATACCAAACTTACAGTGAATATTTCAGTCCTACAGTGAGTGTAATCACTGTGCTCACGTTAATGACAGCAAGAGATTCCTGTGACTTGTGAATTTTCAAGATTATTTTCTCATTGGCTAATAACTTCCCAAAGCTATAATAACTATTCTGAAAAATAAACTAGCCATTGCTAGAATCTTTATGAATCTTTATGGTTAAAACTGAAACTCTCCAATCTGATGCCATAGCTGCTTTTGGACTCTCTGCTCTACTCCTTGGTTACCACAGCCTGTTTTACATTGTTCAACAATTCCTGTTGGGTAGCCTCTTACAAATTGTCTATCAAGAAGTATCATGATTTCAGACAATAAAAGAAGCATTGAAATGTATATTTTTCTGATACATGACATAGGATTTATTTTTCCATGTATTCTATTTATTGCTTCATCCATTTTGTTAATCCTATCCCTTTGGAGCCACATAAGGAAAATGAATCTTAATTCAGACAGGACCCCAATACAGATGTCCATGTGCATGCACTTAAATCTGTGCTGTCCTTTTTCTTCCTATATACTATGTATTTTGTGTCTTCAACACTGTCAATTAGAACCATGTCCTGTTTTAATGATGAATAGAAATTTATGCTTTGTACAATTGTAGTTGCTGCCTACCTTTGTATGCACTCTATTGTCTTGATTCTGGGCAACCCCAAATTAATACTGGCCTCAGCAAGGATTCTGCCTTCTACCAACTGCTGTTTCAACGAGCATTGTAATATCTATTCCTGTCCTTCCAGACTAAGAATGTTCACTATCTTTGTAAAGCACAGTTGTGAAAAAATGAAATTGTTTTATTTTCCCCTTTTGTTCTGTGCTCTTCATTCTATTATTGATTTGAATTCTCTCCCATGGTCTACAGTACACAAAGCACCAAGTCCAACTCAAGTTCTTCCAGTGAACATCAGCCCTTTCCTGCAGCAGTGCTTCTATTCTTTTCAAAAGAGACTGTTAATTATATCGGATAATTGAGATGGATATAAATGACCACAGAACTCTATTTCATGTGATATATTTGGGCAGGATTGAACACTGGTCTTCACTGTTGAGTGACATTTCTGCTAAAAAGCTTCTGAATATAAGAATAGAAAATGAATGTGTTTGTCTGTAAGTCTTATTCCATCCTCCATACAAAAGACTAATGATGGGAAAAGTCACAGGGGACCTGGTGATAATGCAAATTGAAGATCCATTCATGTTGCTGATACAAAGACATCAAAACACAGACTCTTCAAGAGATAATTCATAAAATACAATGTAAACAGATGTCAGAATGGGAACTACAAACTGAGGGTATTCAGTCATGAGTTTATTGATGCGCTGTATTTTAAAGTTGCTATTCACCACAGACAGTTATATGGTAAATAATATACTAACATAACCACTCAGTTAAAATCCTTCAATCAAACCTGAACCTAAGTAGCCAGGGCAAGCACTGGCCAGATCCAGAGGAAACATTTTTATTCCAAACTAACAGTAACTATTTGAAATATTAATGACAGCAAGGGATTACTCGGAACTCTGGTACTCCATGTGAATTTCTGATTGGCTAATAATTGCCTAAGCTTTTTGAAACATCTAGAAATGAAAAAATTGGCATTGGGAGAGCTAATGACTAAGTCTGGGAAGAGAGATGGCTTGATCATTACCTGTTCGGTTCACTCCCTCTGGGGCACCTGGCATTGGCCACTGCCGTCAGACAGCATACTGGGCTGGATGGACCTTTGGTCTGAACCAGTATGGCCATTCCTATGTTCTTAAGTCTGAAAAAACATTCCAGAAAGGAGATGATATGCAAAGAGTGACTCTGTATGGATTGGTCCATGTCTATTTTGTGACAGAAAAGATAGTCATAGGACTGCTTTTTGGGATTTAATTAAATAAAGGACAGTCAGTTACAGCTTGCTGTCTTTCTGCACCTAGGACAGTTCCCTAGTGATGAGGTGAAGTTAGAATCTGGCCAAAAATGACTATAAGTTCCTATGTTTAATAAGTACTATGTCATCATCCTACCTACAGTGAAAGTTTGCAATGGAAAAGCAAGGGTGCAATTTCTAGCCTCTCAGACACAGAGAACAACTTGAATTATTGAAAGAACAGTTGCAGGGCTACATTTTCAAAAGGATGTCTCTCCTTTCTTTGAAAGACTGTTTTTGACCATAATTCAACTCAGTGCACAAATCTGAATACTTGCATCTTTTCCTATGTGAGCATACAACTGGCAATTTTTCAAGAGTAAACTTCACTTTGCAAAAGAAAACTTGGTTTCAGCCCTTTGACATTAACCCTGTCATTTTAAAATGTCTCTGCTTGTTCCATATATTTTCCAAAGTAATATAACCAATAATTTAGCTATATAAACAATCTATTCGTTGTACTTAATTTGTTAATTGCTTGATAATTTAGTAGGAAGCTTGAACATAAAGCATGAACATGTAGGGCTGATAATAATATGATACAATAGAGTTATGGAACTGTACATGTATAGTTAGGGGAAGGATTTACCATAGCCTGGAACAATGATTTTTATTGAGGATTTAAATAATACAAATAAATGATTGTCTATAATGTGGTTCAGACTTTTCTGACTGTATTTGGAGGAGTTTGTAGAGTGGACAGTAATACTGAGTCCAACTGGAAAAGGAGAATTCCCCTTTGTAAGGGATCCAGCATTGGCATGTGGCCCTGGAAAGACCCAAAGCAATGTACATTAGAGATGGATGAAAATGGTGACATTACTTGTGAACACTTTTTTTCAATAGCTAATTAAAATTTAAATAAACAAATACTAGTCTACTAAATATTGTCTTTTCCACACTTTGGACCATGATAATTTGGGACACAAGTGATAGCTTCGAGAGTGTGTCTGTGGCGATTTAGCATCCTCTTAGCAGTTCAGAATCCTTTGAGTTTGGTCAGTATCCTTCAAGAAATACACTGACTTTCTTTTGCCTCCATTCCTTCAGTTGAGACTTTCATTCTTGTTAGTTTACAGAAGCCCACCTTTTGAAATTCATCTGTCTCTCTCTACCTTTAGTCAGGTGGTCCACTGAGACACTGCAGCTCTTCCAGTGATGTGCTCAGTCTATGAAGAATTCCATGCTCCCCAAACAAGTTTCTCTGAAGAGACAGTCTTTTAAATGAATCTGCTGTCTGAAAACCTATTCTTCATGTAGATGAGAGTAATTCATTCCTAACAGCCTCTAGATAGCTTTGCTCACATTCTTCACTGTGTGCCAGAATCTTGCTATGATATGAAGGTTCTAATCCACTGAAAATTACAATAATACTATTTATAAAACAGAATGGAAACGTCTTTCTGTCTATGTGTCCATCCATACATTTTGGGGTGTGTCTAAACTACAGGGTTTTGTCGACAGAAGTTTAGACACACCCCAAGATGTATGGATGGCAGTTTTGTTGACGGTGGTAAACCTCGTTTTATGAGGAATAATGCCTTTTTTTGATAGAGTTCTGTCAAAAAAAGGTGCTATTGCATCCACACTGTGTTTTTTCAAAAGCGAGCATCTGCACTCTCTTTCAAAAAAGCATCTTGCTTTTTCAACAGAACTGGTTGTAGTCTAGACGCTGCTTTTTGACACAGGCTTTATCAACAGTATCTGTCGACAAAGCATCTGTCGAAAAAGGCATGCAGTCTAGACATATCTTCTGAGTCTGTTTGTTCAACAACTCCTCTTAAACAGTAAAAGCTAGGGCCACCAAATTTGATATGCAGCTTCCTCCTATCCTAACTTAAAGCTGCGGTGTCCAAAATGCTAGTCACTAGCCACATGTGGCTATTTGGCCACTTGAGCGTGGCTGGTTGTCTTGAACAATGTAGCTATTTGATTGGTTGAGTGTGATTAGTTCACTATAGCAGCAGCCACTGGTTGAACACCACAAAAAGCAAAAAATGGGTTTGTTTGTCCCAGGACAATGAGATATGCCTGGAATACAATTGTTTCTCGTAAAATGGAAAGGGAGAGGAATGTAGGGGGGTACAATTATACTATAGAATGACTATGGGGGCAGGCACCAAAGGGCCAGAGATGGGGACCAGGACAACTATAACCCCATTGGGCCAGCAGGGGACAGGTGTGAAGAAAGGGAAAGTTGTCTACTATATATTTCAGAGACTT